CGCGCGGCCGCCGAGGCGCCCCATCCCCGGCCTGCGGTGGGCGCCGCGGGCAGCACCCGGATGCTGGCGTGCGCCTTGGGGCCCCTTCCCCCGGGTCGTGCCTCGGAGCCGCTCTCGGGCGCCTCCTGTGAGCCGAGGGGACGGTAGGGGTGATTTCTGGGGTGAAGGATACTCCGAGGCAGCAGACCCCGGGATGAGCCTTGCGGGCAGAGCCTGGGACAAGACACAGCTGCCCAGGGCCAAGTGTGGTGGAACATCCCCAGCCCGAATGAGCCGGGTTCCGTTCTGGCTCCGTGCATACTGGCTCCTTGTTCACTTTCGTTTCTGGGTCTTAATTTCCTCATCTGTAAAACGGAGAGCTTGGACCCATTGTCTCTCAAGGCTGTTCCACCCCAAAACATCTGTGGCAGGCCCTCTTAGAGACTCTTCTTGGGGCTTTCCAATTTAACACAAACAAAACCTGACTAGGTGAAAACTAGGATCTTTCTCTCCCCCCCTTTCCCCTACACACGCACAAATCTCAGACACACGGTTTCTGGGAGACGGGGCTCTCAGTGTCTAGCAGAACGGTAAGGCGATCTTCCTTTGCAGGGGCTCACCAGGTAGCTGAAAAAGGTGGCTAATTGGGAGTTCTGGTTAAATGCAGACTCAGCAGAGGGAACTAAGGACTCTGGGAGTGGATGACCAGTTAGTTTCAGGAACCTCAGGGCTCTGCTCTGGCGCTGCCTCCACCCTGGTCTCTGCCTCTCCCTCCCAAGTCCTCCTAGGGCTGCTGCAGGACTGCGCGGATCGGGGACTCAGGACGCCCTGATAGGTAATGGGTCTGCGTCTGCCCTTGGCCAGTCTTGCCAACACCCCTCCTGCCCGCTGCAGCCTTGGGGTTGGACGAGGGGCTGCCGGGTGAGTGCAGAGGCTGCTTGGATGATGCCCATCCTGGCCTCTGGTCTGTCTCTCTCCCTACTTGGCAGTCCTTTCTCCCACCTCTGCCTGTGCCAGGCCTTTTCCCCACCCCGAGGTACTGCTCCCTTCCTCTGACTGCCTTGGTTGGTCATTGTTTGTTTCTTTTTTTTTTCTTTTCTTTCTTTTTTTTTTTTTGTGAGGAAGATTAGCCCTGAGCTAACATCTGTTGCCAATCCTCCTCTCTTTGCTGAGGAAGACTGGCCCTGGGCTAACATCCGTGCCCATCTTCCTCCACTTTATATGGGACACTGCCACAGCATGGCTTGACGAGCAGTACCTCGGTGCACGCCAGGGATCCGAACCCGGAGAACCCCCGGAGCGCGTGTACTTAACCGCTTGCACCACAGGGCTGGCCCCCTTTTTTTTTGGGTGAGGAAGATCAGCCCTGAGCTAACATCTGTGCCCATCTTCCTCTACTTTATATGGGATGCTGCCATAGCATGGCATGACAAGCGGTGTGTCACTGTGCGCAGGGGATCCAAACCGGCAAACCCCAGGCCGCCAAAGCAGAGCGCGCCGGCTTAACCGCTTGAGCCACCGGGCCGGCCCCCGTTGTCTGTTTCTTATTGCTCTTTCTCCGAGTTTGTCTTTCCTACCCGATGGTGATCCCCAGCTGGGAGGGCTGAACAGGGACTTAAGATTTTATTTCTGGTTTTATAATCGAGAAGGCACAGGGCCTGGCACTCAATGGTTCTTAGGAAATGTCTGTGCGGTAAAAATAGTGACAGCCATATTCCTTGGTCATTCCTATTCACCGAGTGCCCTCAAGAGTGATGTACATGTATGAACTTTTTAAGCCTCACAACATCCTAAAGTTACCATTACTATCCCCGCTTACATGTAAAAAAACTGAGGCAGAGAGAAGTAACTTGCCCCAGGTCACGCAGGTGGGAAGTGGTGAGACTGTGCGGGTAACTTGCAGACATTATAAGAAACAGCCTTCAGGTGAATGAATGAATTCTCTAGATCCAGACGCTGTGGGAGGCTAATTGGGCCAACTGGGGTGCTGGGCTGTCTTCTCAAAGACAATGCCTAATTGTGGGATTTTGCCACTAATGGAACCTTCCATGCAGTCTGGAAGGATATCTGGGCAGCTCCAGCTTGTGGGTGGTCCCTCTTGCCTGGAGGAGGGAGGGTGGGCTCCTCGGGCTCACAGGCCTTTCTGAGATTCTGATACAGCCTCCCTGGGCTGCAAGCTCCTAGCTACCATGTCCCTTGTTCCTTGTCTGGAAAATGGATCTAAGGATGACATTTGCCTTGTGGACCTGGGAGGTGATCAGATGAGGCAGAAAAAGGCTTCAGTGATTGTCAGGAGCAGGCAGATATCCTTGGGCTCTTGTTGTTTTTATGCCTCTTGGGCATAAACAAGATAAGAGGAAGGAAGTATGGTGACACAGTGACATGATTGACTGGTAAATGCTCAGCAGTATTTGCCAGTGGCCGCTGTGGGCCAGGACCAGGGCTAGATGAGGGAGAGATGGTCCCTGCTCTCCCAGATTACAGCATCTCAGATGCAACTGGAATCATTGCTGGATCACACCTGGGAGATGCAGTCTCCCTCCATCCACTCTTTTTTTTTTAAGGTCGTTTAAGGAGCAGGCTCAGAGACAGCCAGACCTGGGTCCTGAGGCTCAGGGGCATGGGAGTTCTGGGCTTGGACTCTGGTGCCAGATGGCCTGGGTTCACCTCCTGGTTCCACAGCTTCTAGCCTTCTTGGGCAGGTCCCTTCACACCTCTGACCCTCAGTTTTCTCTCCTGTGGGGAAAGGGGCCTGATGGCTGAGCAGGGTACTGGATGTCATGCTGGTATTTCCTTCTGTTGTCCCCACAGCAGCTGTGCCAGGTCGGCCTCCCTGAACCCATTTTACAGATGAAGACAGCAAGGCTCAGGGAGTTAAGTACCTTGACAGCGAGTGTCACAGAGCGTGTGAGTAGCCGAGCGACGATTCAAGTTCAGGCTCTTTGACACTAAGGTCCTCGCTCTTTTCATAACATTTTGCTGCTTTCTGGCTTCAGAGCCTGGTACAGGGCAGGTGTGTGATACTTGTTGGCGAAAGGCTCCTTTTTGTATATTCTTGGTTGGTGGAGGGAGCTTAAAGTCAAGGCCGGCTTCAGGTGCATGAAGTCTGCTCATGAGCACAGGGCTCCCTACTTAGGAAGGCCTCCTGCTTGGTTTAATGCTCTGCTGTCTCCATCTAGAAATTCTTCATCATTTTTGAACAAGGGACCCCACCTTTTCATTTTGCACTGGGCCCCACAAATTACGTAGCTGGTTCTTTTTAAAGGACCAAGGTGGTAAGGGCGTGGGAGTCAAGCTCCCCCATTTAGGGGGCCTAAGTATTGGCCGTCAGCCCTCAGGCCAGCTCTGAATTGAGCAGACGTGTGCCGACTGGACACTTCCTGTCTTCACCAGCGTTGAGAACCGTGGCAGCGAAAGACGATTCTAGCGGACTTTTCACCAGGACAGTTGGCAGGGCTGGCGTATCACTCAGAGACTTTGGCATGATTTTCCTTGGTGGGGGGTGATTCTAAGGGCCCCAACTGGACGCATAACAGAGGTTAAGTGTGCAGGTTCCAGCCAGAGTGTGTGGCACCAGAGACCCCCTTTTGGCATCAAGAAAATACCCATGAGGGGCGTTTCTGCTTTTGTTGACAAAGTGGCTAAGGGGCATGCCCGCTGCGCTGTCGCTGACCCGGCTCCCGATGCTTTGGAAGTATTTCCAAGGTCTTTTAGAGCTCAGTGCCGGGACGAGGCACGGCTCCCCTCTTCATGTCTCCCCTCACCCTCCTTTTTCTTTTCTCCTGATAGATAACTGTTTGACAGTATTTCCATTTTAGCTTTGGCCACTTGGAAGCTCAAAACCAAATTCTTGGCTCAGGCGTGGCAACTGTGTCAAACCTCAGAACAGTAACCATAAGAGCTGGTATTTATGGGATGTGTCCTTTGTTCCAGATGCTCTTGTCTCCACTTGACAGGTATCACCCCATCAATTCTCAGCAGCAGCCCTGTGGGGAAGGGACCATTATTTGGATATAGGGAAGCTGAAACTCTTTGAGGTTAAACCACTTGCCAGCGTTTACATAACTAGTCGGTCATAGAACTGATGCTTAAACCGGTTAGTCTGACCCTGGAGTCCGTGTTCTTGAATGCTAACCTCACCATCTCTGCTAGGGAACTTCATTGCCTGAATATCTGGTTATTTTTATCTTTGTGGTAGTCACTTTTTTTTGGTAATTTATATTTCCCACCATCTTGATTTTGTTCGTTGGTATTTTGCAATGTGTTATGGGAAGCTATTTGAGATCCCTTGTATAAATAAGGCTCCCTGTGATGAATATACCTGTCCTGTGCCTGGTTGCCTGGGGCGCTCTCAGTAAGGGAATAGAAATCCCGGATGCCTGGGAGTGGGGCCTGGTCAGCTCGTGAGTTTCCTGTGGGTCCCTGGATGTGTCTGAGCTGGAGAAGGCCCAAGACCAGAAGGGAAGTTCTCAGTCAAGGCCTTGGGGGATTTTAGTTCCTCATCTTCACTCCCTCTGAGAATGTTCCTCAGCATGATCAGAAAGACGAGACTCGATGGACAGACGCCGGGTGGCTCTCCCAGGCCTTCTGATGATTTTGGCTTTGGTTTGCCCGAGGAGCCCGGCCTGCCTGGGCCCATGCCTGAAGTTCTTTCTTCTGCTGTTTTCTGAAGGCAAATGAAGCTGAGCTGGCGGCTCCAGAATGAACCACAGCTCCGAGAAGAGGAAGTAGCAGCCCAGCTGGCTCTCTGTCATGGCCTGTGAACCGCAGATGGACCCCGGCGGGGCGGCCGGCCCATTGCCTACCTCCGCCCCTGGCTGGAGCGCCTTGCCTGCGGGGAGCCCTCCTGGCTGGGGGCAAGGTAAGGTCATGACTCTTAATTCCTGCCTCCCCTAAAATCCCCCTGGGATGCTGAGATGGGCTCACGTAGTATGATTGAGAGGAAGGGAGTGGAGGGGCACAGAAGTGCCTTTAGGTCAGGGTGGGCATTTTGGGATACATGTCCAGGCCAGTTTCTGGCATTTCTACCCGTTCTCTCTGTCACCAGCTCCTTAGATCAAGCCACCATCATCCTCTGCTTGGATCCGTGCTGTAGCTTCCTCGCTGATCCCCTTGCCTCCTTGCTTCTTCCATCCGTTCTCTACGTGGCATCCAGAGAGATCTTTTTAAAATGCACAACCAACCATGTCTCTTTCTGCTTCAGTGTTTCCCATTGGGCTTATCATGAAGATCTGTCATTCGCCAGCTTGCAAGGCCTGCCTTAATGGCTCTTGCTGCCCCTGTTCTCAGTTCCCGCCATGCTGTTCTGCCTCAGGACCTTTGCATCTGCTGTTCCTTCTGCCCGAGATGCTCTTTCCCTGCCTCCTTTTCCCTGCTTAATTTCCATTCATCCTTCAGAGCTCAGTTCACATATCCCTTCCATGGGAATCCTCTCCTGATGGCCCAGCTGAAGTCAGGACCCTCTGATAGACTCCTTCATCTCCCCATGGCACTTATCCCAGTCTGGGATTAAATAATTACCTGTGTAATAAAGGGTTGAGTGTCCAGCTCCACACTGGAACATAAGTTTCATGAAGGCAGGGCCTCTGTGTTGTCTTGTTCATCCCTGTGTCTGCAGTACCCAGCACAGGGCTTGTCCCATGGTAGATGCTCAATGAGTATTCTGTTGAATGATGAATGAATGAATGAATGAGTGGCTGGGCATAGGCCCGGGGAGATAGCATTCTGAATGGTGGGATCCACAGAAATGTGGCTGGTTACTTAGATGGTTTGAAACTTGACTACTTAAAAACAAGGGTTTCTTTTAACGTTACTGTTATTAGGAAAGCAATTGACAGACACACACAGAGCAGTAGAATGAAACGGAATGAGATAATTTGCCTTCAGAACTTTGAAGGCATCGCTTTACAGGTTTTTGGGAAGCCAGTTCCTGCTTCTCTGTGGGAAATTCCTCCCCCCTGCACACACACACACACACACACACACAGACACACACACACACACACACACACAGACACACACGCATAGACATACACACACACACACACACACACACGCTTCTTTGGTAGCTTTTCAGATTGTTTTTCTTAGTTTAGGTGTAAAAACAAGTATTTCTGAGGGGAGGACGAGCCGTTCTCACTTTAAGGAACAGATGAGAAAGGTCATTGCTGAGAATCCAGGAACTTGTGGTTCCAAAGGCAAACAGTGACTACGGGAAAAAGTCTTTGCATGGCTCGGGCAGATCCCTTCCTCTGAGGGCAGAGCGGGTGGGGGGGGAGTGGTGGGAGGGTTGGGGGGGGAGCGGTTCAGGTCCTCAGGCCTGGAGTCCAGGTCCACGTGGGTTTTCCTCCGCGCTGTGAGGTGGAGAGCCAGTGGGAGGCCCGTCTGCCTGACTGCCTGCCTTTGTGCTCGCTACCTTTCTCCTTGCTTCCCCCTCTTACTTTCACTTCCCCTGGTAACACTGGACGAGTTCTTGTTCTCCTTTCAGAGGCTCCGTTTCCTTCTCCATGGTCACGGTGTCCGACTCTTAGGGCTCTCGGAGGATTAAATGAAATCAGGACTGTGCAGTTCAGCCCCCGCCTGGTGCACAGTAAGCTCTCAGTACCCGGAAGCTATTCTTATTTTATTTTACGGTTCGATTTGATTTCTGCCTTTATTTTCTTGTCTAGTTTTCCTCATTTGCTTATTTTTAAATCTAATTTCATAGTTTTATCTTTTCACATTTTATTTTCATGAAGCTGCCTTAAATTCTTTCTGGAACAAGGTGGGGGAGGGTAAAAATAAGTACAGATCCATCTGTGTTACTTTATTGTAACTTTTTTTTTTTTTCCTTTTCTTTTTTGTGAGGAGACCAGCCCTGTGCTAACATCTGCCAATCCTCCTCTTTTTTTTGCTGAGGAAGACTGGCCCCGGGCTAACATCCGTGCCCATCTTCCTCCACTTTATATGGGACGCCGCCACAGCATGGCTTGCCAAGCGGTGTGTTGGTGCGCGCCCGGGATCCGAACGTGCGAACCCCAGGCCGCCGCAGCGGAGCGTGGGCACCCAACCACTTGCGCCACTGGGCCGGCCCTGCTTTATTGTAACTTTTGAGTCCTGACAGCTTGCTTTTAAATTATGAGAACAAAAGCGGTGGGTTATTCAGCCCCCATTTTGCACCAAGCACTTTATTTTCATCATCTTCATTATTTGTAAAGTCCTCTGCAGTGGATATGCTCATCCTCTAAGTGGATGACTGGTTGTTTCGATTGCTTCTTCAAGGTTACTCTGTCAGTGAGAGGCTGAGCTATAATTTGAACCCCAAACTGTCCAGCCTAGGTTTTCCCCCTCACCACCTTGCCTCCATACCCCTCAACCCTTGGGGAAAAAAAGAGAAAGCAAAATAAAGTTCTTTTTGGCAGGGGTAGAATTCTCTGTCACCCTTGAGATCATAGATCATAGGCAATACCCTAGGGTATAAAAAAAGAACACTATCAGGGTTGGGGACCAGTGTTCTATCATCTTAATTCATTTATGCATCAAACCTTTATTTAGTGCCTCCTGTATGCCAAGAACTGAACTCACCTCAAGCGATTCAGTGATGTGCAAAGCCAAGGTGGGAGTATATAGTCTTATGGGGACAATGGACTTTAATCAAGTAATTGTATACATGTGTAATCAAATAATTGCATAGTGTTTACTCATCTTTTTTTTTTTTTTGTGAGGAAGATCAGCCTTGAGCTAACATCTGATGCCAATCCTCCTCTTTTTGCTGAGGAAGATTGGCCCTGGGCTAACATCTGTGCCCATCTTCCTCCACTTTATATGGGACGCCGCCACAGCATGGCTTGATAAACGGTGCATAGGTGCATGCCTGGGATCCGAACTGGCGAACCTCAGGCTGCCGAAGTGGAGCACGTGCACTTAACTACTGCACCACCGGGCTGGCCCGGGTACTCCTCTTTGGTGAGTGTAAAGGAGAAGAGCAGTAGGGCCCGGCCCGGTGGTGCAGTGGTTAAGTTCTTGCGCTCCGCTTCTTCAGCAGCCTGGGGTTCATTGGCCCGGATCCTGGGAGTGGACCTACGCACCGTTCGTCAAGCCATGCTGTGGCGGCGTCCCATATACAAAATGGAGGAAGATGGGCGCAGATGTTAGCCCAGGGCCAATCTTCCTCAGCAAAAACAGGAGGATTGGCAATGGATGTTAGCTCAGGGCTGATCTTCGTCACTAAAAAAAAAAAAAAAAAAATGGAGATGAGCAGGTAGTTATGGACAAGTTTAGCAGAAGGATTTGATCTGCTAAGAGTTGAGAGTGTCAGAGAAGACTCCCTGGGATAGTGATTAATGAGCTGCGATACAAATGATGAATAGGATTTAACTGAGTGAAGCTGGGTGGAAGTGTTCCAGGGAGAGGGAACAGCATATGCAAAGGTCCTGGGGTGGGAGAGAACACTGTGTGTTCAAGGAACAAAGGAGGCTGGTGTGCAAGACCCAGAATGAGGCCAGGGGCTCAAGGGGAGTTTGGCAGGAGGCTGGTTCTTCTGAGGGCTGGGAGAGCGTGGTCAGGAGGTTGGTTTTGTCAGAGCTCTGGGAAGCTATTGAAAGTTTTACCAGAGGATGGGTGTCATCTGACTTGTGCTCTGGCCGCTGTGTGGAGAAGGCGTTGTAGGAGGGAAGAGTAGGTTTGGAGGAGCCAGTGAGGAGACTGCTGCCTGGGAGGGGTGAAGGAAGCTTGCCCAGGGTTGTGGTGAAGTTGTCAAGAGGTGTGTGGAGTCAAGAGATGTTTGTTGGACCAGTTGGCAGGGCCCAGGGATGGCCTGGGTGAGGGGTAGAGGGAGTGGGGCCAGAATTCCCAGCAAGGTCGGGCAAGTCATTTTGCTTAGAAGACTCAGCTATGGCCCAGTGCTAGGCTCGCAGGTGACCAGAGCTTCAGGCCAGCAGGTAATATGTTTATGGTTTAATCCCTTCAGTCCTGTCTCATTTTCTTTTTTCTTTTTTTTTTGGTGAGGAAGATCAGCCCTGAGCTAACATTTGTGCCCATCTTCCTCTATTTTATATGTGGGACGCCTGCCACATCATGGCTTGATGAGCGGTGCGTAGGTCCATGCCCAGGATCCAAACCTGCGAACCCCAGACTGCCGAAGCGGAGTGCGCGAACTTAACCACTACGCCATCCGGCCGGCCCCCTGCCTCATTTTCTAAGCAAGGGCTATAGAAAATGTGTGAAAATATCCAGTTCCCAGCCTTGCATAGCTGGACTCTGGGATCCTAGATCTCGGACGGGGTCCCCCCAGCTCCCCTGGCTGCTACCAGGTGGCACACAGGGCCTCGTACCGTGTGGAGCGAGAGCTCCGTCTACTCAGACCAGCGGTCGGTTTGGCTTCCTTCTGCGGCCGTGCCTCCCCGGCCTCGCTCGTCTCGTGGTTTGGCTTCATCGCAGCCCTGCAGGGCAGGGGTTGGGATAGCTGTTGTGACCAGCCTGGGTTGATGTGTGTTTTTGAGGTAACACTTAAGTCCCTTTGAGGTTATGCTCAATTTAAATGCCTTTAAAATGTTCAGAGAGCTGCAGATACACCGGGGAGGGGTTACCATAAGTCAGTGTATTAGTTTCCTGTGGCTGCTGTAACAGATTACCACTGACACAGGGGCTTAAAAACACCCTTACTGTTCTGTAGGGTAGAAGTCCGACACTGGCTTTGCTGAGCTGCAATGGTGGTGTCGGCAGGGCTGCCTTCCTTCAGGAGGCTTGGGGGAGAAGCTTTCTTTTCCTTTTCCAGCTTCTAAAGGCCGCCCGCATTCCTTGGTCTGTGAACCCTTCCTGCATCTTCAGAGCCGGCAGCGTTCCATCTCTCTCTGCCGTTCTTCCACAGTCACCTCCCTCCTGACTATTCTGCTGCCTCCCTCTTCTACTTTTTTTTTTTTTTTTTGTGAGGAGATC